GCTGCAAGTACTGTTATTATTTGTTATTATATATTTTAGAATATAGTTATAAGCAATAATACATAAACATAAAAGAAGAAACAGTTTATTCTGTTCACAAACCCACAGACAAGTCAGCAGATTTTTGTCAACACAGAGTTTTCTTCTGGAGGGTGACTGTTGGAAAGATGTATATGGCATGGCTCCTCATTCCATCTGAGTTCTGAGTTTCTAAGCTCTATCACTTTTCCTAGGGCACAGAGGTACCCTTTCGCCATTCTCAGAATCTCCTGCCCAAATGCCACCTATGATATTTTCTGAAAAACATTTGATCATCCTCCATTACTTGCTAATCTCTGGACTGCCTTTGATATTTAGATTTATCACAATAAGCCTATTCCAAAATTAGGAGTTTCTAATATGTTTAAATGCCACCATAAACAGAAAGATTTAAGGTCGTCCCCTTTCTAGGGAAGCATAACACTTTATTACACATTTGCTCCAAGTGTTTCTTATGTCTGTAAGAATGGTGTTTGCCTCAGTAGTCATTTGAGGGCAACAAGTTTAAAACCCCTTCCATTTGAGAAAATTATTTCTCAACCCTGGCTCCATGTCAGAATCACCCATGGGGATGTTTTAACATTTAGACTTGCTGATCAGCTCCAGGTGTACAAAATTAGAATTTCTAGGTTTGAGCCCCAACATTCCTGTGGTTGTTATTTAATAATTCTTGCTTTATGGTAAACTTTCAAACAGTCCAGAAAGCAAAAAGTGGTAAGCAAAAATCTGAAACTTTCCCACTCTCATTCTTACTACCCAAAGGTAACCATTATTACAAATATTTAATTATCCTTCCAGAAACATAAGTACATATAATTGCAAACATCTCTCCCTCAGCACGTGTATTTGGAAAACATGAATGGGATCATACTATTCTGTCATTTGCTTTCTTTAATTAGCAATAGATCTTTGACAACTTCTGTTGTCAGTGCATATAGATGTACTTCATTATTTTTTATGGCTGCATGGTTTTGTATTTTATGAATGAGCCCTAACAAAAAAATAAATAAATAAATAAAACAGTCTCCTCACAAGCATGTCAATTGTTTTTCTCTTTCTTGCACTTTGTTTGCTAATACACACAGCTATAAAGAAACATTTCTGCATACTTATACAAGTTGTCTGTAGCAATTTATATAGGAGTGAAATTGCTTTAGCTGAAGTTACACATCTAAATGTGTCTGTGGGTGTAAAATCTATCCATATATACATATGTATCCATACATAAAATACATATATACATAAGTATGTATATATGTGTACGTGTGTGTACATCTTCCCATACTTACAGATATGTGTGTATGTATGTGTATATAAACATACGTATTATATATGTTTCATACATGAGTTATAGGAATAGAATTGCTGAGTTGAAGGGTGTATATAAGTATATAGATATATACATAAACATATACATATGAACTATATATTATATAGTATGTATGTGTGTATATATTGCCATACATTATTTGTGTGTCTTTACATACTTAAAATAGTGGAATAGCTGAGTCAGAGGGTACAAATATGCACATACAGTTTTGATAGATATTGTAATGCTGCCTTTCAAAACAATTATGCCAAGTTGTAATAGTAAGAGTGATTGTTTCCTGACAACTTTGTCAAAGTAGTCTTTTTTCTTTTTGCCACACTTGTGGTTATATGTCATTGTTTCTGTTTACATTTGTTTATTAATGAGTAAGATTATCTTTTCATTTTTTTTACCATTTGCACATATTCTACTATAAACTATTATATCCTTTGCCCTTTTTAATTCAATTGTTGTTTTACTGGATTATGTATTTACTTATAGAGTCTAGTAATTAATCTTTTAACATATATGATCAAATAATTGTTTTTTAATCTTGCTTATGGCATCTTTTTTCTTATGACTTTGGGATTTTGACTTTGAGCATGTGCAATGTTAGGAAAGTTTCTCATGAAATTTGGATAATCAAGAGTTACCTAAGGGATAAAGCTAGTGTCCTAGGACATTAAGTTGCGGGAGGAGGAGAACAAGACAAGGGATATTCACTAATATTTTTCTCTCCTATCTCCACCTATGGAATGAATTCACTGATCTAAAACAGCAAATTGTTTACCCCTGTAAAAAAAACTCAATTAACTCAGGTTATTAGGCCAATGGAAGAGAACCCCAAAAAGTTCCAATATTCAGTGATTCTGTCTGTGTAACTGACCCACAGATAACTCACTCCCTATCGACCCTGGCCTTTGGGACAACAAAAAGGGCACAAGGCTTGTAGCTCAAAGGCCTGCCTGATGATTCCAGCCCTGGCTCTTGCTGGCTGTGAAGTGTTCAAGATTTGAGCCTTTCTAGGCCTCATTCTTTTCACCTGTAAAACAGGAGTAATAATCCCAATTTTGAAAGGCCACTGTGAGGATAAAATAAGTAATATAAGTGAAAGTGCATGCTCGGTTCTTCATTATTAATTTTTTGAAGAGCACATAGCCAAAACTCACTCCAAATTCCAAAAGGATTTGGAATACCACATACCCATTGTTATGCTAGAGAGTCATCTTCATCATTGTATTTTACTGAGACTAATATTAAACTTAAAATTCCCCTGCATACTGCAACTGAAAGAGAACAGTTATTGGGCAGCAGCAGTGGCGGAAACTAAGATGGAATTTCAATGTTCAAATTTTAACATTTACATTTTTTGAACAGAGAGCTTACTATGTAATTATCCTCTTATTCAGATGGCATTCCTCTGAAATAAGCAATTACCCTTATCTCTAGGTCTAGTTCCTGTGGAGAGAAAATGATTATACTTTGAGCTATATGGGTCCAATAAATAAAAACAGATCCCTCAATTTAAATTTGATCCTCAGAAAACTGAGGGTCAGAGAATCCCTCAGGCACGATGGGATAATATGATGGTTAATTTGGTATGTCAACTTGGCTAGGCTGTGGTACGCAGTGTTTTAGTCAAACACCAGTCTAAATATTGCTGTGGAGGTATTTTTTAGATGTGATTAACATTTAAGTCACTGGACTTTAAAAAGCAGATTATTCTCAATAATATGGGTGGTCCTCATCCAAGCAGTTGAAGAGCTTAAGAGAAATGACTGAGGTCCCTCAAGGAAGAAGAAATTCTGCCTCCAGATTGCCTTTGGATTCAAGACTTGCAACATCAACTCTCCCCTGTGTCTCCAATTTGTCAACCCCCACCATCTTCTGAGATAATTCCTTAAAATAAGTATTTTCTCTCTCCCTTTCTCCCCCCCCAACATATGTGTGTAGACATATAATGTATGTATACATAAAATTGTATACACAAACAGAGTCATGTGCTGGATAACGATGCTTCAGTCAACCACAGTCACATATTGATGGTGTCCCATAAGATTATAATGGAGGTGAAAAATTCCTACCCTCTAGTGATGTCATAGCTGTCCTAAAGTTGTAGCACAACATACTACCTTTTCTGTGTTTAGGTATGTTTAGATATAAAACTATATTCTGTTACAATTATCTACAGTATTCAGTATAGTAACATGTTCTACAGGTTTGTAGCCTAGGAGCAATAGACCATACCATATAACCTAGATGTATAATAGACTATACCATCCAGGTTTGCATATGATGTTTGCACAACAATGAAATCGCCTAAACATACATGTCTGAGAATGTATCTCTGTTGTTAAGCAACCCCATGACTGTGTGTATATACATATACATATGTGTGGCACGCACACACACACGATTGGTTCTGTTTCTCTGGAGAACTGACTGATATAGATAGCGACTTCAAAAGATGTTTAATAAGTTGCCTTTTCTCCTTCCCCCACCATGCTTCATTGCAACAACTAGTTACATTGTCTAGGCCCAAGAAACTCTTCACCGCCCCCACTCCATTCCTCCAGTATCTTTAAATGACACTATGCTGGCATCCGACATCCTTTTTCTTCCAGGATGAACTAACCCTTTCTAAAGCGCCCTTTCTCTGTAGGACACAAAATCTAATGCCCTCCTACAGAGGCAGAGGCCGGGTGAAGGTGGTGGGAGGAGGGGAATGCTGGGGGCGTGGCATAGGTGCACAGGAAGACACATAGAAGGATCTGATTCCCATGGAGCTGACATTCTACACAACAAAAAAGTAAACAAAGGAAAAAATCACGGTGGTATGAGGGTGCCTGGAAAGGGAAGCATTTCTGAGGAGGGGCTACTTCAGAAGAGACCTGAAGGAAAAAGAGCTAGATTTGTGAAGAGGGAGAAAGAGCAGTCATGCTAGACAGACAGGTGGCATGTGGCCCCAGCACAAAGCACGGTGTTGGGTAAATTCTAAGTGAACTCTACCTACCGGTGAGGTGCATTTGTAAATATCTAGATAGATATTTAGAGTGGCCACGTAAGAGTGATCACTAAATCTCACTTTATCCAAACGGCCCCGTTTTGTCTCGGGTTTGGACAGAGGTCCGGCAGCAAAGTCAAGCGATGGGGCGGGGGATGGGGGAAGAGAAGTCTGCCGCTCCTCTAGGCTATCGCACCGCCTTAAGTGGGTGGCTCCGCCAGTGCAGGCCTCACTTTCCTCCCCTGTAAGGTTGGGGGGCTTGACTTCTGATCGGTAAGGCCCTGTCGGCTCACGCTGTGGTTCCACTTCTTCAACTAGGCCACTAGGCCCAAGCGCATGAACAGGAAGCCACTGAGAAGCTGGCCACATTTCCAGGTTCCGGGAGCTGGGCCTAGTCCCATATCCTCTGGCACACACCCAGCCACTCAGGCCGCGGGTTTAGGACAGATCCAAGCAGACCGCAGACTCCGGGTCGGGGCACCCGGTCAGCGCGCCGGCCTGAAGGCGGCGTCCTGGGCTCGACTTCCCGCGCGCGGAGAGCCTGCGAGCCCGCGTCCGAGTTCCTGGCCGAGAGCCGAGCCTCGCTTAGACCGCGCTCAGGACCCGGCTCCTCCGCATTCTCGGGCTACCCCTGTGTCCTCGACTCACCCCTCCTTTCTGCCGCTCCTTCCTTTCCTTGCCCTGCTTTTACTGTTCCCAGACAGGACCGCTTTTCCTGTGCCCCGGCTGGAAAGGAAGAAGAGAGACAGTCCAGAAAGGATCGGCGATGTGGAAGAAAAGGGGAGGAGGGGACACGGAGGGGGAGACAGGAGCGAGAGCTTACGCCTAGGAGTCAGGCGGCGGGATCAAGGGGTGTCGGGGTGTCTGGGCGCCTGAAAGAGCGTGGAGGCTGCTACAGTCAACGGTCGCCAAGACAACCATTCTACGCGAGGACGCGGCGACCGGAGGAGAGCGGCCCGCAGGGGAGGAGAGCGCGGGGTGAAGAGGAAAGAGGAAGAAGCGCCCAGATGCTCTGCGCCTGTCGTGAAGGTTAAAACCGAAAATAAAAATGGGCTAGACACAAAGGACTCCGTTCTTGTCCCAGTCCGGCGCCATCGGCGACCGAGCAGCTGGGAGGGGAAGGGGCGCCCGGACCCAGTTGGGACCCCCGGGTGCGACTCCACCTACCTAGTCCGGCGCCAGGCCGAGCCCGCAGCTCCCGCAGCGCCAGCGCCACGCCGTGTCCAGATGTCGCGTCGGAGGCGTGCAGCGGTTTCGTTTAATTTCGCTTGTTTTCCAAATCTAGAAGAGGAGCGGAGCGGCTTTTAGTTCAAAACTGACATTCAGCCTCCTGATTGGCGGAGAGAGCAATGAGATGACCTCGCTTTCCTTTCTTCCTTTTGCTTTTTTAAACAATCTAGTTCGAAGAATGTAAGACTTTCGACGAGGGGAGCTAGGAATAAAGCAAGGGGAATAGGGGAGCGGGGACGCGAGCAGCACCAGAACCCGCGGGAGCGCGGCTGTTCCTGGTAGGGCCGTGTCAGGTGACGGATGTAGCTAGGGGGCGAGCTGCCTGGAGTTGCGTTCCAGGCGTCCGGCCCCTGGGCCGTCACCGCGGGGCGCCCGCGCTGAGGGTGGGAAGATGGTGGTGGGGGTGGGGGCGCACACAGGGCGGGAAAGTGGCGGTAGGCGGGAGGGAGAGGAACGCGGGCCCCGAGCCGCCCGCGCGCGCGCCTCTCTACCGGCGCCTCCTGCAGCCCTTCCCGCGTGCGCAGGGCTCAGAGCCGTTCCGAGATCTTGGAGGTCCGGGTGGAAGGGGGGGGGGTGGGGGGCGGGCGCGCTCAGGGAAGGCGGGTGCGCGCCTGCAGGGCGGAGATGGGCAGGGGGCGGCGCGTGGGTCCCAGTCTGCAGTTAGGGGGGCAGGAGCGGCGCTGCTCACCTCTGGTGCCAAAGGGCGGCGCAGCGGCTGCCGAGCTCGGCAGTGGAGGCGGCGAGAACATGGTGCGCAGGTTCTTGGTGACCCTCCGGATTCGGCGCGCGTGCGGCCCGCCGCGAGTGAGGGTTTTCGTGGTTCACATCCCGCGGCTCGCGGGGGAGTGGGCAGCGCCAGGGGCGCCCGCCGCTGTGGCCCTCGTGCTGATGCTACTGAGGAGCCAGCGTCTAGGGCAGCAGCCGCATCCTAGAAGACCAGGTAGGAAAGGCCCTCGAAAAGTCCGGGGCGCATTCGACACTTGTTTTGTGTGGTGTGATTTCGTAAACAGATAATTCGTCTCTAGCCTAGGCTAGGAGGAGGAGATAACCGGCGGTGGAGGCTTCCCCATTCGGGTTACAACGACTTAGACATGTGGTTCTCGCAGTACCACTGAACCTGGACCTCCCTTCACACAGCCCCCTCAATCGTGTGAAACTGAGGCGAACAGAGCTTCTAAACCCACCTCAGAAGTCAGTGACTCCCGAATATCCTGGGTAGGAATGACTAAGACACACACACACACACACACACACACACAGAGTAGGAAAGGTGTATTTCAAGCACACTTTCTTTCTCCTTGGGGGAAATTATTGCTAACCATCTAAGTTTTCTGGAGGCGGCCTTTTTTCTCCCCAACCTGCCGGCGGGGTCACCCTCTCCCACCTTCCAGGAGAGTGGAGGACCCGAGAGAGAAGGACCACGCAGCAGTGACTTCCTGAAATGCTAACAAGGATCGTAAGATCAGTTACTGCTGCGAGGAGCCAGCACTTGCTTCTGGGGGGAGTTTTGCAGCCAACAGGAAAATGGGCTTTCTTTGTGAGTTAGAGGTAGAGGTCCGGCGGCCTGAGTGATTGAAACTGCTCGGGACTTTGCTCGTATGTTTAGCAAACGACAGAAATGCAGAACTGTTCCTGAAAAATCCCAACTGCTAATATTTTAGTCATCTCAGACTACAGTTAGCACAGTTTAAAAATGAGGCCTACTTCTTGAAAAACAGAATCGGAGGTAGTTTTGTCCTCACATTGACAAATGTTGACACAGCCGGTGTAATTTCCTATAACCAGGAAAACTGAAAGAATATATATACAGTTAAAATGTGCACAATGCTAATTAAAACTTGTGTAATAAGTCTAAAAGTAATTTAATGAGGCTTCGCCAGGAATATATAGCTTCAAAAAGCAAAGGCCAGCGGAGGGGTAATTATTTTTTTACTGCAATGTTAATTGTCTCTTTGACATGGAAATACAAATCTGTTAAAACTATCAGTGTTTAATTTAGTGTCTCACTTTCTATTAGCAAAAATTTATAATCTATAGGATAAATGCATATTTTACTTTTCATATTATGAAAGTTAATTTTTTTTAAATTAAGTCAAAGGAGCTTATAAAGGATTTCAGGGCCTGTTGCTGGATTTGATTTTAATTCATTTTGAAACATTGACAAGACCCTGGTGGTTGTTTTTTTAACAGTGGTTTAGCCGTATCAGCAAAAGTTTAGCCACTGTGATCCGTAACTGTTTGAATGTAGTTCTTAATATTATTGTCTATATAAAAATATTTATTACTCTAGTTAATATTATTCTATATAAAATCATTTTATTTAAATTATTAATTTGCTTCTGAAAATCTATAGTAACAAAGTAGAACATATCAATGTATATAAATGCCATAAATATGTATTTTTTAGTTTAGGCCTATAAAACATAACACCGTGGTGATTTTAAGTTAGAGAAAATATTTTATAGTATGTTAATGTATATGCATGAAATGCAAAACTATTTAAATGATAGGTTCATTGAAATAAATCATTTTTTGTTATTTAGGTATAAATCAATATTCAGGACGTATGTGAAAAGCCCAATCTTCAGGAAGTTTCTGAAGATAGAACACACAGCTTGGATAGAATGTTTGCCTTGAAATATATGCGCTTTTCCAATTTCATATGTAAAATGATATACATAATATAAAATCTAGCGGTGTTAATTATAATGATACGTAATTATATATTTCACATTAATATATTTTATGCCTATGGTTATATTGATTTGGGAATATATATGGATACTAATTATGTTAGGATTCATACAATTCCTTGAGAGGCACACATGCTGAAAATTACCTGTATGAATTATTTAATATCATTGCAAATAAGATGTTATTTTAAAATATTTTAAAGTTTCTGCAAATATGGTTATTAATTTTTATTTTTATATGATTGGAAATATGTATACTAAAATTCCACGTTACCAATTTCTTAACCACAGAAACCTGATAAATTGCCTCAGCTGATTTGTTACTTCTACCTTGGTGCATTTGCAAAATAGTCATATTTTTATTATGAAGTTAAATAGTAATTTGTTTATAGCTACTTTAGAAGGCTCAGATTATTTTTTTCTTTAAGAGCATAGAGTTCTCTCAAGGTAAGCACTGTACAGTTAGTATAAATCATTATTCCCAATGTGTACATGATTCGCACTTCCAAATGAACCATAGCCCTTCTAGAAATTAAAACTTAATATTCATTTTACTACTTTGAGTACTCTTGAATTTTGGAAAGTCTGTTATCATCTTAAGGTAGCAACAACATAGCCTAGTACCATCTATGATGGTTTACAGGTCTGTTATTCCACGTTAGTTCATCACTATCAACTACCATGGTAGAGTTAAGCTAAACCATTTTCCCAACATATGAACAATTCCTGTTAGTAAAGCGATACAAATGGTATCAAAAATATTTTTTATAGCAAGGTTCAACAGTGGACCAAGTGCTTTTACACTTTTTCAAAAATCCTTGGAGAAACAGAGAAAATCTCACTTGCCTTCTGTACTAAAACATTATAGGCCGAACTAAAACTGAAACTTCATAGTAGAACACTGTAGGCCAGGCGTGTCCAATCTTTTACCTTCCCTGAGCCACATAGGAAGAAGAAGAATTGTCTTGGGATACGTATTAAATACACTAACACTAACGATAGCTGATGAGTTTAAAAAAAAAAAAAAAAACTCATGATATTTTAAGAAAGTGTATGAATTTGTGTTGGGCGACATTCAAAACCATCCTGAGCTGCATGTGGCCCTCGGGCCCACAGGTTGGACAAGCTTGCCCTAGCCTTTCCATCTGCTGCAAAGCCCAGCCTGATACAAAAATCAACCTGATAAAAAGTTTTTGTGGTGCTTTATTTTGGCAGTTTAAGTTATATAAACAATGGGTACAGTTTCATTTTCTAAATATAAAATTATTACATTGAATACGAACTTTTAAGACAAATTATCTAAATTCTGATTCTCATATTACTAATATCTTCTCTATTTTTTGCCCAGTGAGATTAACCCACCTCTTAAACACCTCACTGTCAAGAAAAACAATTTTGTATTTTAAAATGAACCCATCCACTTTCATTCAGCTATTTTATATTCAGGTATCATCCTAAGGAAAGAAAGGTTCTGACAAAGATTAATACAGATGGATAAGTAGTAGCAAGAAATAAAAAACTGCATAAAATTCTAGCAATAAAGTGTTAAATTATGGTACAGTTATATTCTGGATCATCAGCTATCTGAAGAATATTTCATAGACGGTTAAATGATTGCATTATAAAGTCAGGGTTTTTTTAAAGCAAGATTCAAAACAGTAAACAGTTTCCTCTCTCTCTCTCTCTCTCTCTCTCTCTCCCCCCCTCCCCCCCTCTCACCCATTAGTTATAATGGTTTCCTCAGGATGAGAGGGGTTGGGAAAATGGTTGGTGATACTTATTTTCTTCGTTTCACTTTTGAGTTTTCCAAAGTGCTATGACCATCACCAGTAAAATATACATTTCCAAAACCTTTGACACGGTAACAGTCCTACACAGTGGAAGAACTAAGAACTTCTCTAGCCTTAGGTAGGTAGGGAGGGAGGAAAGACAAGGAAACTGAGTTAAGTGTCATACACGAGAACGTGGCTTTAAGGTCTGGGAAAACCTGCGAGGGCTGTGACTTCAGACTGTAATGTACGCTATGTCCGTTCACCAAGAAGTTCCATTTTTAAACCCATAAATCCGTAGCTATACCTGTTTCCAAGGTTCCTCGTGTTAGGCCTCTGGTAACAGCACTTGGCGCCCTTCTTGGGATCCCTTCTCTCCGCCCCCACTACCCCACCCTACAAGCACACTCTAGTCCCCTCCAATCAATTTCAGGCAGGTCTCGCTGCCTCCGAGCCACGCTGGGGATGCAAGGGCCCTGGACCCCAAAGAGCGACCGACGACAAGAGATGAGATGCACGCTGCTCCTCCATTCCTCAGCCCCCACCATCCTCCTCCTCGATCCTAACTTCCCCACTCTCTCAATTCCTAGAGACGCTGCGGATCCCAGAGGTTTAAGTGGCTGCTGGAGCGAGGTCCTCCATCAAGAATTTAGAGGCTTGGTCCAATTATCACTCCACCGCGCGCACTTTCGGCAGGAGCGATGTGATCCGCTATCATAACTGCAGACCTGGGGTTCCACGTGGAGGACGATTGGGATTTCACTAGCCGGAGTGGGGGTTGGAGCAGACAGAGTCTGAGTGGGCTTAGTGGACGAAAGGCAAGACATGACAGAAGGCAACTCTGGGTCACCTCTCCAGCTTGGAACTGGCTAGGCCTTGTTTTGGAGGGGATGGGTAGATGAGAAGTGAGTCAGGGTTACTCGGAGAAACCACGAGGAAAGTGCGCTTCTGAGACTCGACAGCCATTTCGTTCCCTTACATGCCAGATGTAGACCCAAGAGTGTTGAAAGGCCTCGCCTTCCCTCAGTTTCTCCATCTGGTGGTGCAGGATGGTATAGAGAGTGGCCCGTAGTATTTTTCCAGTGATGATATCTGTCCATTGTTTTCTTCTTGTATTGCAGCTTTCCCCATGTTTGAAAATTTTCTTTTCAAATGAAATCATTGATTAGAATAAAAAAACGACAGTAGCTATTAAAACAAGATCAATTTCCATGACAGTAAACCAACCGATGGAAAAAACCTTAGGAATTAATAAATGAAGGATTTGTTTGGTAGATGATAAAAGGTCCTTTTAAAGGGTCTGACCCTTCCTGGAAAATACCCACCAACTTGGGACCTCAACAGATTCACCATATCCTAATTCATGCTGTTTTAATGTGTATTCAGCAAACCCACATGTGTTTACAATTGTCGAAGCTACCAAATGTCAATAGCGTTTTTTTTCTATTTGTTGAACGTGAATCTCATGTACGAAGCCATCTAAACAGAAGAAATTACAGGAATGATTTTAAATACAAAAAACCAGTAGTATTGCTAGAGGAGAATTAATCAAGGACGGCATTATGAAGAAAGTGAGGGAGAATTTTCAAAGGGCAGAAAGATAGGGCTTGGTGGACCAAGGAAGGTTTCCATCTAAAAGGAATGGCAAATCCTTAGAGTCCCTGAACCCACTGAGTCTTGGACTGTTTAACTAATATTTGTAGTTCCGGATATAGCACAGTGCATTGTACATAGTGGTATTTTTTTAAAAATATATAATGCCTCGTAGATTTTTTTTTTTAACTTTTATTTTAGAAAGAGGGAGCACGTGTGTAGGTTAATTACAAAGGTATATTGCACCATGCTGAGGTTTTGAGTACGACTGAATCTGTCACTCAAGTAGTGAGCACAGTACCCAGTAGGTAGTATTTCAGGCCTGGCTCCTTCCCTTTCTCCTCCATCTGGTAGTCCCCAATGTCTGTTGTTCTCATCTTTATGTCCAATTAGCATTTGCTTTTTAAAAAGGGTGGTTGAAGAAATTCTGAGTGCTTGTCAGTGTTTCTCAGTGCATTTATTTAATTAATGAGCCCTGGAATGATGGTTGCGTTTTGGCAGAACTATACAATCAAAAAGAAGTAATAAAAGGAAAAAAAAAAAGTGAAAGCCATCAACTACAAGACTGAAATTCCCAAAGCATCAGAGATCCTTTCAAAAAATAGTACGTTGATTTTTATTTTTTATGACATATTGATTGGCTTTGTTCATGAAAATATAAACATGTTATCACAAAGGACTTTTTAATTCTTCTTCAACTATTTCTTAGTTTTCTTTTTCACCTTCAAAATAAAATATAAATTATTTAAATAGTTGTGAAGGCAGTAGGATTTTTTTAAGAGAGAAAGGTTTTGTAGAGGTTCAGAATTATATGAACAAAGACATGTAATCTCTTAATCAAATTGAAACTAATAAAATCGTACAATAGAGGTAATGTAAATTGAAAAAGTCTTTGCTTTCTTAATTGAATAATGTGAGTAACTAGAAATTTTAAAAATATGGCAAAGGTTAACAACAGCATTATTACCTGGGCTGCCTTTAAAAATACATATTTCTGGGGTTCACTTTCAGAAAATTTGATTCAGATTTGCTGTGGGTCCCAGAAGTCTGCATTTTAAATAAACACTTGAAGGAGATACTATTACAGGTGGCCCATTGGGACACAATTTGATGAATATGATCAATTTTACTTTTTTAACCTTATTTCTGCTTATTTATCTTTGAACTGACGTCCAGGATTTTAGGTAAGATTTTAAGTTTAGAGTCAGTTTACTGGATCCCAGGGAGGACAGTCTGAGTAATCAGTGGAGGAGTCTCCTTCACCAAATGAAGGAGACCCTTTATTATTATGTGATCCTTTGTATGAATTGGAAAAGAATTTCTCTTAGATACTACATTTTTACAATCAGAACATAGTTTAAGAGAAAAAATGTAACAAGGTATATTTGTGTTTTAAAGCTTACAGAACCATACAGAAATTTTCCACATAGGCTATACGTTGTCTTTTTAAAACACTATATACACTTACTTCTTTTTGTACAAAATGAATGGATCTCTCTCTCTGTGTGTGTGTGTGTGTGTGTGTGTGTGTGTGTGTGTGTGTGTTGTAATAGGGGTTTCTTTCATTTTATGATCCAGACCAGGCTCGTAATAAACATGACAACCTAAAATTATGTAAGAAAGAAAAATCAAAGCACAAGTGTTTTACAGGTTTAACTTGTGCTTATCTAAGATCAGAGCAAGATTGCATGAAAATGTAGCCATAGCAGAATAAAGCATTTATGGACAAAAGGATGGGTCTTTATGTCTCTGTAAAAGCACAGTGAGAAGGGGGAAAATATAGATGGAAAATGTAAGCTAAAAAGTAACAATTATAGGAAAAACTAAAATATCATGCCTTTCAAATGATCATTTTTCTGCTTTTAAGCTACAGTTTGTCTAATATTACACCAGTGACTTTGCTGATGTATTAGGAAAAAGCTTGTTTTGCTTTCTTTTCTCGAGTGCCACCATTTTCTTGCTCTCATTCTCTTTCAGGCTGCCAGATCATCTGACTCAGCAATTGTATAACTCTCTCACCCAATTTAAAGAAACAGCAGCTATCTAGAGAACAGTGACTCCCCCAGTTGAAAATCTAATTGGTAAATGTCCAACATCGGACACTTTGAATTTTACTCCATGCAATTTACATACTGAATAGTTGAAGTTGAATATATTAAACATTTAATTTTTAAAAGAAGCTTATTAAAACTTTCTTCCTAAATCACATGGTAAAGTTATCATTTTCTTCAAAAATAATTAGTAGGAGCTTAACAATAATAGGACACTTCAATTTCCATTATCTCATTTAATTATCACAATATCTTTATGTTTTAGATGTTTCATTTTTTCATTTCGTAGATCTGGAGACTGAGGATCAGATAGGTTGCATGGCCTGCCAAAAGTCATTGACTGGTAATTCGTATATAGTTGAACTTGGTTGCCCATGGAGTGCTGTACATATTTATATGGTTTCAGCTCCATCTTTTTTAGTTAATTATTCTTTTGAAAGTTGCTTAACCCCTTTGGGCCTCTGCTATACTCAAGCATCAGTCATATAAGTCACAGTAAATATTTATTGGTTGAAAAGAGGTTAACATCTTTCAAAAATTTATTTTTTAATCAAAATAAAACCAATGAAAAATTCTCATATGACTGTACGTATAAATTACTTATTCCTACCTTAATTTAAAAGCAATAAATGGGATACCTATTCACCAGCACAGGAACCACTTGAAGCATGCAGTTGAAAGATTACTTTCTTTAGCATTCACATGACCTGTGAGCAGATTCTATTTTCTTTACTTAATAGCTGTCATGGTACCAGAATGAAGTATGAGAAACTCTCAGTGCTTTCATGTTCTCATCTGTAAACCTGAGACCCTATGGTATTCAGGTAATAAGAGGTAGATAAAATAGTATGTGTGAAGATTCACTGTAAATTTTTAAACAGCATACATTTGTCAGTTATTATAGTGCCTAACTAAACTATGCCCTTAAGAAAGCACATTAGTTTTTTACAGTAAATACCTACTTCATTATAATTTTTCAGTGTAGCTAGAAATTTCTAAACTCCACTTTAAAAATATACATATAATAAAAATGTATGTATTCAAACTCCTGGTATATTCCAAGATGTTAGGTAAAATCAGTGTAAATTTGCATACTTTTAAATTCACATCTGTACAGAAGTTCTATATGGTGACCTTTAGGGTGTGCCTCTAAACTCTTCTAGTATTCATAATCATTAAAGAAATATTAAACAGTAAGATATCAAAGAAAGACACAAAATACACTAAATAGTATGCTTTCTTAAGGCTAAATTGACTTGGGGGTTTTAAATCAGTACAGAGTAAATATACAGTATATTCTGTTATCACTGCCATTTCGAGAAATTAATTATGTAAGTTAACTATGACAACACAAAAGATAAAACTACCCTCAAGTCAGAGACTCAAAGGAAAACATGAGTGGAAATGTTAAATCTGCCTGTGAAAACTGCTAAAACATGAATAGGAAGCATTTACTTATTTAATCAAAGTTGATTGCATTTCATCAAGAAGTTGATTCCCCTGAGGGGAGTTAAATCACATTATCAGGTGAAGAATGTGATTTGAGGAAGAATGGTCTAACACAAGAAAATTTTCTTGCAATCCTTAATAATATCAGAGGGGAGATTGGCTTCAGAACTCTCCTAAGTTCAGGAAAGGACACAGAAAATTGAACATTAACAGTAAGACTATAGAGTCCCAAAAAAGCAGGCTACTTTTAAACGATAGTTTTTTAGAGGGGCAAAAGGGGGACAACCATTCTCCATTTGATGAGGAAAGCTTCCATGTAGGTGGTCCCCCTGAAATTAGAGTATCCTAAACCATTGTTAAACCTATCAGTGAACCATGAATACTAAACCTCCACTCCCGGGAGTGAAAACCGAATACAATATTATTTACCTGTAACTTTCAACATTATCTCAGAA